ATCATGTCTACTATCGCATGTATCATCCAGTAATTAATGTACGCCTCCCAATGTGTATTAAACTTCATACAACAGATAAGGTAGCTAGGTATTGGCCAATTTTAAGTTGCCTTTCTGTTAAGAAGCGTTAGGATATACCACCAATGTAATAAATGTGTAAGTACGGTGCCCCGTGGCCTGGTGGCTAGATAACAAAGAGGCACATACCGTATCTGGAACAATACATGTCATCGAAAGCTCCTCTCTCCTATGTGCGGGTTACTGGTGGCTAAAGCTCTCGCTTCACACGGCGAGGTTCCGGGTTCGATTCCCAGCTTAGGTAGAAACATTGGGCGCGTCTATGTTCCCCCATCAGTAAAATGGGTATCTGGGTGTTAGTCGACTGGTGTGGGTCGCATCCTGGGACAAAACTGACCAAATTTTCCCGAAATCCTCTGCATAACAAGCGGCTTTCTATATATTAGTATGTCATTGATGTCAACTAGAGCTGTATACCATGTACATGTACTTGTAGAAATAAAGATATATGAAATTGTGTTTAATAATCGTCAAATTTATTGGCGTAAATTTTCATAATAAATATTCAGGAACCATATGTTCCTAATCAAGGGTCCCTGTGTCAGTTGGGGAGCTGAGACGGTGGGCACTGAAGGAGGGACATTGTTTTCGACCCCAATGTTTCTCAAATCCCACAAGTCTCCAAGATACATTAATATCAGTGATAAATTAGACACATGTGCAACAATTGGGTATCTTTATTAAGGAAATGTTTCGCAACACATTGGCTTCATCAGTCCATACAAAGGAGAACAGAGAAGAACAGGAGGAGTTTGAGGTAATCAGTCCCTCAGCCTTGAGTCGATGTGGTCAGTCCATCAGTCTTGGGTATCAATAAAGATACCCAAGTGTTGCACATGTGTCTAATTTATCAACTTGTCGGTTCTTTGAACAATTTATCTACATCAACATCAGTAAGTTACAATTAGTTTTTGTATCAAGAGCTCTTCCCAGTGTGTGAGTGGAAGTTAATTCGAGATTGTGCACTCGTGAAAAATCCCCACATAATTTCTAACAGAATTTAACCTATCATGGTTGGGTTAGGTAAGGTTCGTCAAGAAAAAGGACAAGTGTTGCCTGCCGCGGGTCGCCAGATGATGACCCGCCGGTCATCTGACCGAAGCCTTCCGCTGGCTTACCGATCCACCCCTTTAAAAATTATGGTCATAGTTATAACTACTTAGTTACAATAAAAACCTATCATGTTATCCCCCATTAACTCCACAACCTTTTTATGTGATATATCCTCTACCAGGATACACAGCAATTCACAACTGCAGACCAAACCAAGTTGGGGGTGGTATTGCAATCTATTACTCTAACCAATTATCTTGTATTAGCACCACCTGCTTTAGTGATGAATATGGGGAATACATTTTTGCTAATTTTACTGTAAAAAACCTTAAGACACCTATAACAATCGGTGCCATTTACCGGATACCTCACACAAACATCCCAAATTTCAGTGAGAAATTAAAGTCACTAATAACAAACAGACAAATGAATAAGCACCACCTTCTCTTAGCTGGAGACTTCAACATCAACCTTGGCTTACTAGATGATCAGCCTGTAACTGATTTCATCAACAATATGAACAACACACTTCTCATACCAACAATAACTAAACCAACCAGGCTCACTGAGACAAGTGCAACCATAATAGACCACATATAGACCAATATACTAGCCCCCCTTAAATCAGGGATAATCACAGATAGCACTACAGACCACTACCCTACCTTCCTCCTGACACACATTAGTAAACCACCACTTGAATACAACAAAGTCTCATTTAGACTTCATGACGAGGCCTCAATAAGGAAGTTCACAGCTGACCTAGAGATTGTTGACTGGCCTACAGAATTCTCCAAGGCCAATGGTATTGATGACTGGACAGACATTTTTCTTAACAAATTACTTAGACTATACAACAAACATTGTCCTATAAAAACGAAACAGATCACAAACAAACAGCTTGGTTGCCCATGGCTAACCAGCACCATTCTGAAATCCATTGACAAGAAACACCAATATGAAAAGCAATATAAACAGGGCTTAATACACAAAGATATTCTTAAACACTATTCATCAGTTCTCACCAAAGTAATAAAGAAAGCCAAACAACTATACTACTCCAGTAGATTCACAGACACTAGAGGAGATATAAAAAAGACCTGGAAAACACTCAGATTCTAGGGACCCACAAACTGAAAAAAAACAAGAATATTTGTCCTAACTAAACCTAATGAACACCACTACATCCCACTGACACAGCTAACAAGATAAATGACTTCTTCTCAACCATAGGATCTAATCTTGCCAATAAAATCCCACATACCAATGCCCATGGCGGGGACTACCTAGATGGGAATTTCCCAAATTCCTTCTATCTTGCACCAACTGAGCCTACGTAAGTCACCGAGATTATAAAGTCACTTAAAAATAACTCAGGGAATCTGTCTCATGTCCCACCATTACTGTACAAGCGAGCGGCCCATGTCCTTTCGCATGCTATTTCATTACTTTTTAACAAGTCACAAGAAACTAGCACCTTCCCGAAACTACTCAAGATGGCAAGGGTTACACCAATACATAAAGGTGGTGACCCTACAGACTTAAACAACTATAGGCCAATATCAAACTTACCATTGCTATCCAAAATCTTTGAGAAACTCGTGCACAGGAGACTATATTCATTTACACGGCACAAAACATACTCAACCCCTGCCAATTTGGATTCAGGAAAAATAAAAACACTAATGATGCAATCATAAAAATGCTAGATCTGCTTTACACAGCATTGGAAAATAAGGAATATCCACTAGCAATTTTTATTGACCTAAGAAAAGCTTTTGACACAGTAGACCACGACATCCTACTCCACAAACTTGACCATTACGGTATAAGAGGCCATGCGCTTGCTTATTTCAAATCTTACCTTACTAATAGGTATCATTATGTCACCATTAAAGACACAGCATCAACAACACGGCCACTTGATACTGGAGTTCCGCAGGGAAGTGTCCTTGGTCCCCTGCTCTTCCTCATATACATCAATGATCTTCCAAACGTATCCCAACACCTGAAACCCATTCTCTTTGCTGACGACACTTGTGTCATCTCTCACCCTAATCTTGCCACCCTCAACACCATTGTTAACAAGGAGCTGATCAAAATATCGACTTGGATGACAGCCAATAAACACTGACAAAACCTACTATATTATGTTTGGTAGCAGAGCAGGAGATGCACAAATTAACATTAAGATCGACAACACTCTAATTACCAGACATAATGAGGGCAAATTCCCAGGCCTATACCTTGACAACCTGAATTTCAGCACCCATATCCAACACATAACCAAAAAAGTATCCAAAACGGTTGGGATCCTCTCCAAGATACGATACTACATGCCGCAAAATGCCCTTCTCACACTATACCACTCACTTATTTATCCATACCTCACCTATGCTATTTGTGCTTGGGGATCAACTGCAGCAACACACCTAAAGCCAATAATAACCCAACAAAAAGCTGCAGTAAGAATAATCACTAAATCCCATCCCTGGCAACACCCCCCCCCACTCTTCATAGATCTAAACTTCCTGTTCAGTACATCCACACTTACTACTGTGCGATCTACATCTACAGGACCTTAAACTCCAATATCAACCTTGACCTAAAACGCTTTCTTGATAGTTGTGACAGAACCCACAGGCATAACACCAGATACAAACATCTCTACGACATTCCCCGTGTCCGACTAAACCTTTACAAAAATTCAATGTATGTCAAAGGCCCTAAAATCTGGAACACCCTACCTGAGAACTCTAGAACTGCATACACATTCATCACCTTCAAAACTACCATTAGAAAACATCTTATCTCCCTGATACACCCCATCAACTAACTACACGAATACCACCTGGTGGTTCACACTTACACTCATTCACCCATTTGACCATAAACAGAAATATTAATCTCAATCTTATAATAATGAATCCTGTGATACTCCAATACTGAAACTATGTACTGTGCCAAAACAAAAGCATTCAAATTGCTAAACTCACAAACTAGTATTTAGTCACTTAGCCATAATACCAACTTACCTCATAATTTGTAATATTTTAAAATTAAGAATTAAACTAAGTCTGCCGGAAATGCCTAGCCATGCTAGGTGTTCTAGTGGTACACTCTGTAATCATTATAGCTGTATAGTCCTTGTGGCTTAGCGCTTCTTTTTTGATTATAATATAATAATAATGTAATCATTATTTAACTACATGTAAACCACACAATAACCAAATTCTGTAAACTCAGCATTGTAATCCTTATAGAGAATAAACTTTGAATTGAATTTGAATCCTGACAGATGGTAATGCCTAAGTAAAAACAATTTTTACTTTGCTAGAATGAATCAAGTCTGTATTCTGTACCCACAATGGCATGCTTGGCGATAGCCTTATCAGTATTGAAGTCTCCCAACTCGATCTGACAAATTTGATTAAATCACGTATAAAACTAGTCTATAAATAGGTGCACGCTATTCACTCATTTACTGTATAATTTACCAGTCCATAAACGTGTAATCTACTACATTCTCGCATGTCCGGCAACATCGCCGGACACACATCTTCCTTGTCGAATTGACAGGTTCGAATCTAGTGTTAAAAAACACTAAATTCACCGTCGAGATGTGCAATCCTAACATGATAAGTAAATTTATTTAGTTACTATTACACACGAGTACTATTCGATAAGTTTTGGGAGATTACAACTAGGTAACTTACACGTTACTATGTATGATAATTGTACTTATGCGTACCTATCTAAATAAGCTTGTTTACTGTATTATTATTATTATAATCAAAAAGAAGCACTAAACCACAAGGACTATTGTTTACTGTAGTGATAGATGTTATTTAAAGAAGAATAATGTTTACCTTGCGTTTAGGCGAGATGACTGGAGTTGTGTGTGTAGTGGCGGTGGTTGACTCACTACTTGTGTGGTGAACAGAGTTGATGAGAGCAGTGAGGGTCCATGAGGCTGGTTGTGGGTAGTGGTTAGTGATGGTTGTAGTGGAATACAACAACCACACACTACACACCCACCCAGTTCCTACCACAGCCGCCACCACCACCCACCACCACCAGCAACAACCTTGAAGACGCACCATGTAACACCTAGCTCCTGGTACTTTATATCTTCATGTCTTGAATGTAGACATGCTGTAGATGTTACAAGTTAGTAAGGTATAGGGTAGGTTTATAATGAATTTTAATGAGGAACCAATGAAAGGCACCGGCTTTTAACTAGTGAACTTAAAGCTTAGTATATTTTTGAAGATTTATAAATTATCAAGGCCACTCGCATTGTACGGTGTTAAGGTCACATTTGTTTTTAAATAACAGTGTAGCTTGTGGTATGTTAAATGTAGGGATTGTGTGACCACAAATGGTAATGTCTCTGCTAGATTATTCATTGAAACCGTTCATCTGTTGACACGACAGCAACAGTTCATGAGATTTTTTTTTTCAAATGCAGATCATCAGCTTCTAATTTGGGTCATATTAAAGGAACAGCAAGAGAAAGCAGCAGGAGCGTATTCCATCCCGCATGAACACGCACACAAACACCCTCCCCCAGCTAAAGTTGGTGTAACACTGAAGTGAACCCCTGGTCCTCACCACTCACTGGGTTGCCAGTCAATGTACACTCGAACCTAAATATACGGATACTTTTTTTTCAAAACTGGAAATATATCGTGGCTCTCTTTCCCACTGTATAAGAGAAAATTGTTGTAACTGATTAATAAATGGAGTTCATTTTGGTTTCAATAATTGCATAAATTTATAAGTTTACAGCTATCAGTAAGTTTACGTAGGTACAGGTACACACAAGTACAATTATAAACAATAACATGTGTAAATTACCTAGGATAGCCTTAAAAAAAGTCAAGAGGAGCTTCATTCACAGTATAATGCAAGTTTACAAGTATCAGAGGGTTTTATGAATATTAAAAATTAACGAAATTTCATTACGGTTATATTAAATATGGTAATAATAAATTACCGGAATTTCTGTTATTATTACTGATTGTCCTTAATGACTAAATTTCACATAATTTTTGTTTAAATCATTCTTGAAGTAATTATAATCAAAATTCGAGACATTTCAGCTGGTTTCCATGAAGCTGACCACCACAGGGATGTATACCACAGCGCTGTATCATCTTTTGCAGACGATACTAGGATCTGCATGAGAGTGTCATCCATTGAGAACACGGTTAACCTCCAAGAAGATATAAATCAAGTTTTCCAATGGGCAACAGAGAACAATATGATGTTCAATGAAGACAAATTCCAACTACTCCGTTATGGGAAACTGGAGGAAATAATAACTAGAACTGAGTATACTACAAATTCCAATCACACAATTGAGAGGAAAAGTAATGTGAGAGACCTGGGAGTGGTAATGTCAGAGGATCTCACCTTCAAGGATCACAACAATGCCACTATCACATTTGCTAGGAAACTGATAGAATGGAAACTGATAGAATGGATAATGAGAACATTCAAGACAAGAGATGCTAAGCCAATGATGATCCTTTTTAAATCACTTATTCTCTCTAGGCTGGAATACTGCTGTACATTAACATCCCCATTCAAGGCAGGTGAAATTGCAGAACTAGAGAATGTACAGAGAACCTTGACTGCACGTATAAGTTCCATCAAACACCTTAACTACTGGGAACGCCTGGAAGCACTTGACTTGTACTCACTAGAGCGCAGGCGAGAGAGATATATCATAATCTACACCTGGAAGATTCTGGAGGGACTGGTCCCTAATATGCACACAGCAATCACTCCATACGAAAGCAAAAGGCTTGGCAGGCGATGCAACATACCCCCAGTGAAAAGTAGGGGCGCCACTGGTACATTAAGAGAAGACACAATAAGTGTCCGGGGCCCAAGACTGTTCAACAGCCTCCCACCAGCAATAAGGGGCATTACCGGTAGACCCCTGGTTGTCTTCAAGAGGGAGCTGGACAGATACCTAAAGACGGTGCCGGATCAGCCGGGCTGTGGTTCGTATGTTGGATTGCGTGCGGCCAGCAGTAACAGCCTGGTTGATCAGACCCTGATCCACCATGAGTCCTGGTCTCAGACCGGGCCGCGGGGGCGTTGACCCCCGAAACCCTCTCCAGGTACACTCCAGGGTGGTCATAAAATTGCATTGCAGTAAAATATTAGAGCTTCTTATTTATTATAACAATAATAATGTGTATACGTGTATGTTTGTGCGAATTAATTTTTGTGCGTAAGTGAACTTTCATATGCATTCAGAGCATGTATTTGTATGCGTATGTTTGCATATGTGTATTTGTGTGCGTACGTGTGTGTATTTTAATTTGTATATTTGCATAGACCCTTGACTGTTTACAAGAAAGCGTTGGAGGTACCTAAAATTCAGTACCTAACCAGCCGGGCTGGGGTTTGTACGTCGGCTTGCGTGCGGCCAGCAGTAACAGCCTAATTGATCAGGCGGCGTTGACCCCCTTCCAGGGAAACTCCTATACCCCGGATCACAGTTTATATAATAATTATATAAATGCAAGTTGCAAACGCTCCAGATGCTCGGATGTTTTAATAGTTGTCGGAGTGACGTTTGGAAGTGAAAGTGAGCAAGAGGGTAACATTCTCTCTCTCTCTCTCCCGTCTCTAATTTGAAAGTTTAGTGGCATGTATTTGTGGTTGCAGGGATCGAGTTACAGCTCTTGCCTCCCCGCCACTACTAGGTCCACTCTGCTACAAGAGTTTTATCGTACCTCTTAAAGCTATGTGTAGATCCTGCGTGATGAATGGTTTTGAAAACCGACAAGTTGAAGATTGAGACACTTATGCAACATATGGGAATCTTAATTGAGGAAACGTTTCGCCACACAGTGGCTTCATCAGTCCAATACAAAGCAGAAAGGTTTGTATTGGACTGATGAAACCACTGTGTGGCGAAACGTGTCCTCAATAAAGATTCCCATATGTTGCAAGTGTCTCAGTCTTCAACTTGTCAGTTTTCAGAACCATTCATCACAACTGTCAGACACTGCATCATCATTGGATCTTGATACAAAATTTGTCCAACCTTAGGACGAAGACCTACTTCGACTAGTGGATGGTACCACCATGATCCCGCCTCCTCCTGCTTCGCCTCACCTGACTGCAGTATATAAGCCACGTCTACGGCCCTATGCTGTACATTCTACAAGATTGATGGACTGAACACATCGACTCCAGGCTGAGGGACTGATTACCTCAAATTCCTCCTCTCCTTACACCTTTCTGCTTTGTATTGGACTGATGAAGCCACTGTGTGGCGAATCGTTTCCTCAGTTAAGATTCTCATATGTTGCATAAGTGTCTCATCTTCATAGATCCTGCCTCCACTACATCACTCTCCAAAGTATTCCACTTTCTGACAACTTTATGACTGAAGAAATACTTTCTTACATCCCTGTGACTCATCTTGAGTTTTTAACTTCCAGCTGTGATCCCTTGTTGCTGTGTCCCATCTCTGAAACATTCTGTCACTATCCACCTTGTTTATTCCTCTCAGTATTTTATAGGTTATCATGTCTTCCCTATCCCTCCTGTCCTCCACTGTCGTCAGGTTTTGTGTGTGTACTCACCTATATGTGGTTGCAGAGATCAAGTCTCATCTGGCCCCGCCCCTTCGCTGATCGCTACTAGGTTCACTCTCTCCTGGCCTCGATAGCTTTACTGTACTTCTTTTTAAAGCTGTATATGGATCCTGCCTCTACCACTTCACTCTCAAGGTTGTTCCACTTCCTGACTACTCTAAGGCTAACATTCATGGCTCATCTGCTATGTATGATAATCTATGTAACTGTATTTGTGTATACCTGAATACAGCGTGTGTTAGTGTCACGGTTACAGTGTCACGGTTGCTACAGTGTCACTGGTGTTACAGTGTCACTGGTATTACAGTGTCACGGTTGTTACAGTGTCACTTGTGTTACAGTGTCACTTGTGTTAGTGTCACTGGTGTTCAGTGTCACGGTTGTCACTGTGTCCCTAGTGTTACAGTGTCATGGGTGTTACATTGTCAAAAGTTGTATGAGTGATAGTGTTATATGGTTTGTATTGGGCAGACTGTCAGATGTAGCGGCCAAAGCAGCTGCTTACATTATGGTGGATTATGTGGTAATCACTTGGAGTGAGGGAATGTTGGTGGCCACCTTTAATAGGAGTGCGGCCCATGTGTGGTGTTGGGCAGAATGTATGTGAGCAGATGCCCTGCAACATATAGACGAATGTGTGTTAATGATACGTTGCAACTGAGAGAATCCCAATATATTTTCTGAGAAGTGCAAGAAGAGCAGTAAATGAAGTAGAGACTGGAATTATATATAAGGGAGGAGAACCCATGTAGGGTGATCCGATAAACAAGGAAACACATTCACCATGATTCGTTCATTAGCTATCTTGCCAGAAGTGCACAGACATCACAGTTCAAATGACCAGGGAGGCCTGGTCGTGGACCGGGCCGCGGGGGCATTGATCCCCGGAATACCCTCCAGGTAGATTCCAGGATCTCCACCCTCTCTTTTAAAGTGTAACTTCCCACCGCTAGGACTCAAATCTGTCTAACTTATTTCCAGAATCTTTTCTTAAATGTTACCTTGCTCATACGCCAACAGCACACTAAGCCATGAAATCTACTTATTTCAATTCACTTTATCTTAAACGCGCACACAAGCCTGCTTAAAACTCACTGTCTGGGCATATATGCTAACTGACTTGACTGACTCTGCTAATTAGTGTCAGTCTTCCACCCAGAGAAAACCAGCCAAAACACCTGAAATATTTGCTGGATATTTCCTCGACAGTGGACTGTGAAACACAACTACACTGGACACTACTGACACTTACTGGGATAAGTCATTGATAATGCCTGGTTCCTGGTTCCGAACCTTGATAAATGATCCAGCACACCTGATCACTGGATAAGTGGAACTTAACACGAGGGGTCACTACACGACATATTAAAATGACATATTGATACCTGCTATATGGCAGGCTCCAGAGCTTAATGGCCTCCTGCTACCCTAGTACCACCTGCCTTGCAAAAATTATGGACTGCAATCTATTTAATAATAAAAGTGAGGGAAGATGATGTTTTCTGTACCTCAAGTGTAGAATACCCAGGGTCTTTTCTTGGGTTTGTGGTGAAGTCAAGGCTGCTCGCCAATCAACTCGTGCCCTGCTTGCTGATAAGCATCGTCTCGGTGCCCGAGTGTCGTATCATTACCACAGACAGACTATACCTTAGACATTCATGTAACACTCGCTAATACGTGTCTACTCAAGATGTGGTTATTGGCTAAGTCCAGGAATCCACTATTAAATGTATCTTTCATCTACTTAACAATCCCGAGAACGCTTAAAGCAGACGATAAGCAGATGTGCCGGCCCCTTCTCTCGCTAATGCGCTCATGAAAATGCAACTAATTAATCGGGCTTCCTAACTAAAAGTTACGACCGGCCATGGTGTGCCCTTTCAGGATTCTCGGTATTTTATACCATTCCATTCTCGCGCAATATTGGCCAGCCTACACAGGATAGCTCGACCTAGGATACTGTTGCCAAACTGCTGACAAAGGTGAGTGTTAATTAGTCACTCACAATTCGACGATATCAATCACGTGGCTTTATCAATACCAATTCTAGGACATGACTAAAAGACAGTAGAACTATATACAAAAGATGAGGTAATCAGTCCCTCAGCCTTGGAGTTGGTGTGAAGAGCACCGTGGTTGTAGAGACGTCTACAATAAAGATAACGATATCAGTCACACTGATATTCATAATACGCATCGGCAATCGGAGATCAGAAATCAATTGCGTCCAAACTCTCATATTGCATATGCACAGTTAATG